CTCTACTGGGAGCTGAACTGAGCTCTTCAGCAGCAAATTCCTTCACCTGCCTTAAGCAGGAGAACACATCATACACGTGGCACTACTGGAAGAGGCAATTTACCTTTCACCAAAGTCCCTCCACAGCCTCCATGACACATTTACCTAAACAATATAATTGAAAGGACCAATATTTTTCTTTCCCCATGACTGTTTGCACTGTACAAAGCCTTTGTTTTAACCAGTGCCTCTCTCTAGCCATCCACTTCTCTCTCCCTGTTTGCAACAAAAAAGGGGGTTTGTGTTTAATTTTACCAGGGCTACGTTGCAACCAAAGTGTTTTCAAAGAACTCCTGCATCATTGCTTCAACCAGCAGGAGGTTTTGGTTTGATAAATGGTTTTGTGCACCACTCAAGGAGGCACGGTAGGATGCTGCGTGAAAGTGGTGTGAAAGGCAATTTAATGAGAAAGCACCTCAAGAACTGAAGAGAACCTTCTCAAAGATCTTTCAGAAGTTGCCCTGCCCATGAATAACTCCTTCCCCGCTACCAAAGGGGTGTGTGTGGACGCTCTGAGCTCCCTTCTTGGTTTTCCTAAATGCTGCTTTCTGGGTTTGTTTCTTTGATGCTCAGGGAACCTGGGTCTTATCAAATCCCACCCAGGGGGAATCACTTCATTATCTCGAGGCACACACTCCAGAGCTTGAGCCCACATGGAAAACGCATCCAAGGTCTGTGCAGAGGAATTCCCTCTTACCTGGCTCACCCAGCTCCTGGTGAGTCTGCTCCTGACAGCCTTTGTGCTCCAAAACAAACAGGTGCCTGTAGTATACGTTTAGAATGATGCAGTTCAGCTTCTAAGCGACTTTTCTTGGGACATTCCCAACACTAAGTTGGAAAAATTTCAGCTGCATTGTTCTCTTATTTTCTCAGCCCAAATCTAATCAGTTTTTCCTTTTCTTTCACAATCAAACTTCTTAACAGGATCAAACTTCTTATCAGGATCAAACTTCTTAGAGCAAGGTATTTCATGCTTGAAAGTTAGGATTAATAAACTGCTTGTCTATTACTGCATTAGCCATTTAAGATAATGTGATCTGAAGTCTGACTTTATAGAGATCAGTGTAACTGAGTTGTTTTTATTTAAACTTCTTCTTATTATACTAAGAATTAAAATGTTTTATTTTAAAAATAAGCATTGCCAAGCAATATGGCCAGTTGCAAATAGACAGATACACTACTGCTCTCTTATCAACCCAGAAATCAAGGAGCAAATGACAGAATTAAGAAGCATATTAAATGCAGTCTGCAGTTGAAAACATAAGTTACTTAAGAATGTTTCCTAAAGGTTTAACGCAGCAAGCAAAGAAGCATCCCCTAACCAACTGAAAGTTGGAAATTTTGAGAGACAAATTAGGCCAAAAGTAGACTCCAAAAGGCTGGGAAGAGTTTCTTCATCTAAAACATCAGTAACTCACGCTGTGTGGGAAACAGCAGATCTTCACCTTCCCTCCTTGCTCAGGGGCCTTTTCCTTGGCCTGTAATGGGAGTTATTCCAAGAGACACTTCACCCACTCGTCCCAGAGCAGACAAGACACGAAGATCAAAAAACACCTGAAAAACTTCATTGACGGAAGAAAGTTCAAGAGTGTAATTAAAAACCCATCCTACAATCTAATAAATG